AATTACAATAGATACCTATGGGGGTGATGAGGTATTACTCTATACATTACTACATTACTACAAAATCAACAGAGGGATAAAAATTACACCTGCAGATTGTGGGGCAAAACAATTTGAACAGTTATGCAAAGCTTATAAATTGCAACACAGACTTCATCCACCCTCAGAGGTGAAGAAATCCTGGCTTCCATACATTTCACAAACTTCAGCATCAGCCAAAAAGTGTTGTAGAAATAATTGCTGTTTTCACAAATTGTATTTTCCTTGTATAAGTTAAAAGAGATGCTGGTGCTGAGCTTTTCATTTGCAAGTTACCCCTTCTATGGGTGACTGGTGCTTGGGCAGGAGGCCAACACTACCTGGGACATTCCCAGACAAAGAGCTGGGAGTGTGAGCAGAAGAGGTAGGCATGCAGCCCTCTCTGTCCTTCATGAGCCCTTCCTTTTGAGACTTCTTACTATACCTATACACCCAAGATTCATAATTATCTAAGTGCCAGCTCAGAGCTACCTCACTCATCACTTATGAATATTGTGCCATTCAACTTCATTGCTCGAAATCCGCAGGCCAGCCCATGCCATTGACCTTGATGATGAGTACCAGGAATATTCTTGCAGGCCTGACGGTGCTGAGGAGAATCTTCCACCCTATTCTCCCTAGTGTTCAGCACCTGTTCTCACTAGTGCTTTATGCTTTTTCACTCCGGTCTCTCTTTGTGTGGACTCCACTGGGAGGAATTCCATCGCTGTTTGGACCTGTAGGGTCCATTGCTGAACAGGGAAGGTCTGCCTTCACCCCCCAAAATACACCTGCCCTGGGAGCCAGCAGTGGTCCAGCCAAGGCAACAGTGTGGGGCAGGTGGCTGAGGGCAGTTGTTGCATTATTAATTGTATTATCCCAGGGATACTGTGGAGAGCGCACTGTTAGACCCTGTTCTTAGTTCTCAGTGCTTTACTCACACTCAATAAACAACTGCTTGCACCATTATGGCATGAAATGTTTTTAAAGCCATATGAGTGCTTGAGGGGTTCTTTCTGTTTTTTGCTGCTTTATGTTCCCTTGGAGACTCCTGGATGGCAGCTTTCACAAAAACAAGTCTGTCTCTCAATAAAGCATACCTCCCCTTAAAGGCCCTCCTTAACATACTCAAAATAGCCAAATGTTTCTGATAAGTACGTACACTAGCTGGATGAAGAAGCCAAAAGGACATATTTGATACATGATGAACTGCTATATTCAGCTGTATACAAATATCTTTCATTCCTAAGTCACTTCCAGAGCCAGGTCTAATTCCCAAAATAGGAGGGAATGGGGAGAGTAAAGAGTTTACAGAAAAGATCAAAATGCTAGCAATTATATGCTGGACATTGATGGGGCTTTCATCCATAAGGAGCACTGAAGGAGTTGACTTTCATAAACTGAGTGTGCAGTCAACAATTTATACAGAAGCACTTATTTATATAAGGGCACCTAGAGAGACCAGTTAAAAGTTCATTTACATATGACTACATTTGTGAAGATGCAACCACACCTCTCACAGCAACATCTCAACCTTTAAGCATTTCCACTTAATTCTACACCTGATTATAATGTGAGTAACTTCCCCTGAAACCTGTCAGTTTGCAACAGAGTGTGCATGTCTATTCTTTTTAGAAAATCAGCCCAATACCCACTCTTGTTCATCTTCTTTCCCCACCTCAAACACTCCCTTCAAACACGTACTGCCAATAACCTGCAATGACTTTATCCAATAGTTGGCTATTTATGGTATTATGCCATTTATACCTTGTCCTTTCATGCAATATTTTCTTTACTGAGTTATTTTTGTCATTGAAGCATTGCTTTGCACTAAAGAATGAAGCTGGCTTTGTTTACCACGAGTTAATAGCACATCTTAATGACTTAGAATAGCATGAGGTACTTGAAGGCAAGTATGCATTTAAACACTTCACTCATGAAATTCATGTCAAGCTTCAAAAGAAACGGAGACTTTTTAAAAGGGGAAACCCTGCTTTTCTTAGAGGGAAGATGAAAGAACTTATAGTATATGGAAGGAAATAATGAGAAGATTCAAGAAAAACCCCCATCCCATGTGTAGAGTCAATATTTGAAAACACTCCATGTCCTAAACCAGCTCTTTGAAAATCATTTCCTCTCCTAATTCCTTGCCAGAAACTGAACTCAGATCTTTCTATTTCTCTTTGAAGGCCTGATAACAAGTCTTGTAGGAACAACTCTTCTCTTGAGATTTTCTTCCATATTTCTTTCTGATCTGTAAATATTAAAGAAAATAACTTTTAAGGATATATTAAATATTTTTAGTCCTAACAACAGCCAGTACTGGAAGAAGAAAGCATGCAAGCTATAAAATAAATAGAAATGTCAAAGCCTGTTCAAAACCTTGCTCAACCTTCATCTCAGTGTTTAAGCTGATCTGTTCTATGTGGATGAACAGTATCTCTAAGACAAAATGAATATTTGGACAAACAAGTATAGCAAAATGAACAAGAAAGAATAATTAGTTTCAAGATTTAAAAGTACCACGCTGGAAAGGTAGAATGTAAAACCCACCAAGTTTATACCAGAGTACATAAGTGAAAAAAAAAGCCTCAACTCAATCATACTTCTGCAAAGTTTGTACTGTAGTTGTAGTGAAGACATCACTCCTGTGGTGAAACATGGCTCCACAAAAAGAGCCTCACAAAGGCCACTGTCCCGAAGACATAACTGTCTACTCAAAACTACCTACCTAATTTCCATTGCTGGACAATATTGGCCCACTCCCAGTATGCTTGAGACCACTGATACAAGTCTGCCCATTATAATAATGTTTTCTGAGTCCATAGAGATTATAGAAAAGCATACTGGTTTCATAGCTATTCATTTAGGAAAAATCTATTGAATTCTATGGCCATCTGAGAGATGAAAATATAAATAGAGGAAAACGTCCTGAAACCACTCCTGCAATAATGTAGAATTATAGAACAGCAACAAGAGCATTAAAAGAATAAAAGAAAAATATGTACAATAACATCTGTAGAGGTATCAAGAGTCAGAGTTCCTTCTATCCTTTCCAGATAACATGAGAAGCTGGAATTGGTAGGTTGTTAGTAAAAGAGAAAATTGTTACAGATTTATTGACAATTTCATTAGATATGATAAGGTATATCTATGAATATATTTGTTTTCAAAATTCCTGATCCTGCTCTGCCACTCCACAGAGACTGGCATTCTCCTTAAAAATCCAGCAATCTGTGATAATGAAAGAGCCTTGTTATAGCTGTTGTGGCTAAGGAGCTGGAAAGCACGAGGTTTAAGGATAAAAGGAGTCACCTCTCTCTCTAAGGTGCTACCTTAGGGGAAAGCTGAAGTGATAGTAGAAGGAATGAGGAGTGGGGAAGAAATAGCTACTTGTTGTCAAGATGCTGCATGATTGGGGAAAAAGCAGTGCATGACCATCATTTCACTGCCATCTTTACCCAGCACAGCTTCCTAACAGCCAGGAACTGAGTTTCTGTTCTTCAATAGCCAAACTCATGACTTCTGGTACAAGGTTGGTAATGCTTTGAATTATTTCTGATCCAAAACTGATGAAGACTTTGTGGGAGCAGCAAAAGATGGTATCAAACCTGAGCTTGAGGATTTGCTTTAATATTTGGAAACAGATATGTTTCATTGTGTTGTTTTGTTTGTAACTCATATGGCTCATATGTGCTCTTATGGCTATTTCTTTAAAAGTTCCTTTTGGATAAAGAGGAGTAGCCTGGCTCAACTACCTTGAATTTAGGTAACTGTGGGATAACTGCAGAGGTATGGGAAAATGGAAAGTGAGGGAATAAGAAAGCAGCGGCTTTAAACCAAAATAAAGGAGTCTAGCTCAGTAAAACAGAGGGTTTTTTAAACATCTGTTCCTTTTTCTGCAAAAGGACCCAAGTATTTTCAACACACAGATTGTACCGGAATGTAGTGCTAGGAAGTTAAAATATAAATTGTTGTTCTGTCATAAGAAAAAGGCTATCATATTACTCTGGAAAAAAAGTTTAGAAGTCTTGATTAGGAAAACAATAAATACAATAGGTTTTATGGCTGATTCAGGCTGGCTTAAAGATCTGTTACTGGGGCAACAGAAGTTCAGATGTGGCCTCCAGGGGTTTGTGTTATGTAGAGAGGATGCTGATTCAAACACTGCATTTTCTTTAAGCTATGAGTAGGTAGGTCTTCACAGACAGTGGAGCTGTTATGTGTGCATCTAAGCAGGATAGTTACCCTTCGGGTTTTTTTGTTCCTTACTTGCTGAACAAAACTGGATGTCCCTGTACTCAGTCTCTACCGAGCATTACATTTAGCAAAGCTTTCTTTTCTTTTCTCCATCCTCATTCTATAGAGTTGAAAAAATGTTGCCGTTGAGCAGTTTTGTATACATTTCACCAGGCAACTAAAAGTAACTGCTCTATTAAGGTTCCTAAGTTTTTGATTAAATTATATTTACTTTTTTCCTTTTATTTACTTTTTTTACTTTCAATTGTCTTTGCTTTTTTCAGCTAACTATCGAATAACTTGTTTGTCTGCACTTTTAAAACTTCACTGACATGATTGATTTACTTACAAGTTGCCCAATAACACCTCTTTCCAGGGTTAGCCAGAAATGTTTCTAAATTCATCTACAGAACAAATGTGTGGTACGGTAATACAAGTGACCTACTTCTCAGACAAATGAGTAAAATCCTTTTCTCCAAAAGCTTTGCTCCTTTCCTTGGATTCGTTGATATTTTTGCCCTATCAAGAGCAACACCCTGGTCCACGCCTTAGCAGAGAACCCAGGTTGCTACCAAACTCCCTCAGATAGGTGTTTGAAATCAGCTTTGTTCTGTTTAATTAAGAAGTAGAGTGTCCCAGACTGGCTCCATTTACTATTAGGCAGAACTTCCCTCATCAGAGACCTGTCTGGATTACAAGTGCAGAGCAGGACTACTGACAGATGAATGTATCGCTTTTTGCAGAGAGAAGATATGGCTGTTTGTTGCTGTGATGTGTTTGTTTCAGGGAATTACTTATTCAGAAGAACTGAAAAGAATGGAGAGAGCTGTGGATCCTGAAGCATTTATGAATGTTGTAAGTTGCTCGGTGGAGTGACCTGAGGGTGGACGTAATGCATGTCTTACAGTAGAGAGGTTTCTAAGTGTTAGAAAGAACAAGGTAGATAAGCTGCTTTACTTGACCTATCCTCTGTAGTCACTGTATATAGTATTGCTTTCTCTTCTCTTCTGTTTGCATGTCTAAGAGCACATCTTCTGTTTGATAGAAATTGAGGCAAACACCTTTCTTTAGTAAATCTCCAGAGTTAATTTCCTTTTACACATCACTTACCAGTTTGCTGTTGCTGGCACTATCTGCATATATGAAAGAATGATCATCAGGAATGTCAACATTTCATCAGCAAAGAAATCTCTAAATAACTAGTGGTGACCAGCATAGATCAGAAATGGCCAGCTTTTCAGAAGAATACCTCTCGCCAAGCAAACTTGTTTAGGTCTTTAGTCGCTTTTTAAAATCTTGGGGTTTCTGTCCTGCATGACAAAAAACATTGAGTAATTCTCTGAGTACAAGTTATAAAAAACAACTCTCTTTTGTAACAAATAGGTTAATGTTACAGGGCAAAAGTAATATTTACTTCAGATCTTAAGGTGGGCTGTGCTAGTGATTTCCCTCATGACTATGCAACTGACTGATCTTGTTTTTTCATAAAATAATGTAGTCAGCTTCTCAGCAGTACTCATTGAATCTATGCAGTTCACAATAGGGCAGTTGTGAAGCTTTCTGGGTTTCTCTGAAGGTAGTTTAAATAAACTGGTTACAGCTTCCATTGCAGCAGACCAGGAGCATTGCACTCAGGCAGCTCCTCACCTCAGCCACACACCTTATCTCAGCTCATAAACTCCTGCTATGAGTTTATAGTGATTCTTTTATCATCAGAATGCAAGATCTTGTGATGATTATATGGCAAGAGTATAATACAAGTTTTACACGACATATTTTAACTGAATGGTAAAACCCTAGATATAATAAAAAGAATAAACTAAATTTGTTGTTGTTTTTTTGAGGGTTACAATATCCAGTCTGATGATGGTTTATTCAGATGCTTAATATATGTAGATTAAATGCCCAATCTGCTTTCTAACATTTCTTCATTCTATTTTTTGCATGTAATACACGAAATGGAGTTCTGCAAGCAAATGTATTTGTACCTTCTCTTCTAGAATGAGCTCATTACTTACAAAGGGTACCCCAGCGAGCAGTATGAAGTGATGACAGAAGATGGTTATACCATTACCATTAACAGAATCCCTTATGGTACTCAGAATCAAGGAAGCTCAGGTACAGTTCTTTAATATGACACAAGACCAGCCTAGATAGGGCATGTTCTAAAAAGTGATACCTTGTATTTGCATAATGTCCATCAAAGCTTGTATACATGAGTGAAATTTTAAGAGCATTCTGGCTGCCCTGAACAACCTGCAAGATCTACAAAATTAATGTCAAATATGCCCATTTATAATAAAAATCCATTATAATATGAAACGCATGCCTCCTAATAAGAGTTGATGAGTAAAAGTTAAAAAAAAAAAAAAAATAGAATAAAGGTTGTAGTCTGCTTAATCAGCCTGTTACGAGAAAGCAGTTCTGGCTTCTAATTTTGCTTTGGTTTTGCTTACACAAGGTTAATATCAGTGACTGATTCATATTTTGAGTAAGGGAAACCTCTACAAACAATCCCACACCTTCATTCTCTGTATCAGAGTTGAGAATCTCAAGCTGAAGCTACACAAACAATGACCAGAGGGTGCCCAGTTAGATGTCAGGTAGATCTTTCTGTAAATCCTTACAGAAGCTTAGAAGTTCTCTCTTACACACAGGGATGTTTTGCTCTTATGATTAGTTGATGCAGGAATAAATCCCAGTATTGAATAATATCCCTCAACTACAAGGAAATGAAAAAAAAAGTTATTAATTGTTCTTTTGTTTCTGATTTGCTTTTCAGCTTCGAAACCTGTTGTGTTTCTCCAGCATGGATTATTGGGAGATGCTAGTAACTGGGTCACAAACCTGCCCAACAACAGCTTGGCCTTCATGCTAGCTGATGCTGGTTTTGACGTTTGGATGGGAAACAGCAGAGGGAATCGCTGGTCACGAAAACATCAAAAATATTCCATTGATCAAGATGAATTCTGGGCTTTCAGGTAGACAGAACCATTGAAGGGCATATCCATTGCCCATCCTCACATATTAATTTCAGCTGGCTAAAAATCCTACCTTTTAAAAAGCATTCTTTACCTTCACTTTTGCTGAGGTGCCCCTATACGTGCATGTGAACTGTAATAGTAATGGAGACTACTTTAATTACTGCTAGAACAGGTTCTTCAAACTAGAGGCATAGCAGCAGAGCAACTCAGAGGAACCTGCACAGGTGATCTCCAAGCCATTCCTATGCCCTGGAGGCAATTTTGGCAGCTATTAGAAACATTAGTCTGTATATTACAATAGCACAAAAGTGGCAGCAGGAAAAATGTAAATAATTTTTACCTTTATTTTAATGAGCGCTTAGAAACAGACCTTTTTTTTTAATGCCGAATTGTATAAAATGTGTGATTCCAAGGAAGGAGCTCTGTTTCTTCTGTATATTCAGTTACAATTCAGCCTGACACTTCTTGAAGCTATGGTCCTTCTGTTAAAGTCAAGGGAGAAATTACCCCAGAAATTCTTGAATAGTATCTTCCATATCCAGTGTCAGGAAAACACAGAACCGAAAACACTAAATGGTTCAGACTGTTTCTTTGCTGACAGGCCATTAATAAAAATGGGAATTCAATTCAAATTCTGATTTTTCATTTATGCATGTCTCTCTTTCAATCTCCTGACTACAGTTTTGATGAGATGGCAAAGTTTGATCTTCCAGCAGCAATAAATTTTATTGTGGAGAAAACAGGACAGGAGAAGTTGTACTATATTGGATATTCACAAGGTACTACCAACGGTAAGTTAACCACAACAGATGAATCCTTCAGAAAAACAGGAGGAAAATGTGATTTGAGATACTGAGCTACTGAATGTACCTTGGGTTCTCATTTACTCTTTACAGGTGTGAAAAGTACATTTTACATTTATTATAAAGGCAGTAAAATATAATGGACCAAATGCACTGCTACCAGAAGTCTGTCAACTTAAAATTATACTGAAAATTACTGTGGGCCATGAAAATTGTTTCTTTCCAAGATGCAGGGGTGTGCCCAACAGCATCTGGTCAGTTGACTAAAATAAACAAAACAGGAAGATGAGAGTACAGACAGAGAAGTTGGCCAGTTTGGACCGGATGTACACACAAAAAAAGAAAACATGAAATTGGACTGACAGGAAGAAAAACAACTTCTCCTCATATGAAATGCATGAATGTACATCAGAAATATGCATTTCTGTTTAAACAGGCCTGCAAGAAAGCTACAAAGGCAAAATATAGAGATTTCTCCAAAAAGGGAAAAAACCTACAAGCTGGTACTCATGGAGATGAGGGATTTCATGTAAATCTAGACTGAACCATAGTCACTGAACAACTAATAAGGTTGCTTGTAGGCTTGAAGTTGCAGAATAGCATTTATTAATAATGAAAAAAATTTACAAACAGTGGTTTTTTAACTCATTTTTTTTGTTTTCTCAGCTTTCATTGCATTTTCAACAATGCCAGAGCTGGCTCAAAAAATCAAACTCTATTTTGCATTGGCACCTGTCACCACTATTAAGTATGCTAAAGGCCCCGCCACAAAACTCCTCTACCTTCCTGAAAAAGTACTCAGGGTATGTGATATCTTGGTTTCAACTGTTTAACTGTATGCTTGCTTGTTCAGCTCTTAAAATGGTTAAACAGAAAGTATAGGGCTTTGTGAAGTCTACTTATTTGCATGTGGGTAGGTTTACCTTACGGCTGAAGCCTTTGAAAGTTCAGACTGGGCTTTCTATTGAAGGCAATACTGCAGCACTGGGATGGGTCACCCAGAGAGGCACAGAGATGCAGACCCTCAAAGGTGCCCAAGATTTGTGTAGACAAAACCACAACTGATATGCAAGCTTAAAATTAACTGTGAATTGGAGTTAATGTTTAACGTACTTCTTCATTAAAAGTGATGTAACAGAAATTGAGTAATGCCCAAGAAGGCTGATGCAATGCAAAACCAAGTTTTTTCTTTCTTGTTTGTGGGAACATCAATTGGCAATGGAGAAAAGCAAGCAAGAACCACTGACAGTGCTGGAGAAGAGGAACAATGTACATTCTTAAGTGAACGTTACTTTGTATTTCACAGGGTATGCTTGGCAAAAGAGAATTCCTTCCCCAGACTGAGGGTCTGACAAGGATAATAGCCCCTGTCTGCAGCCACCGAGCTTTTGCCAGCCTTTGTAGAAGTGTCTTCTTCAGTCTGGGTGGCTGTAACTTGAAAAACATTGATGTGGTATGTATAACTCTTGCCAGCTCTACTGAGAGTTTCACCTTCTGCTCCCAAAACTCGCCTTCTGTCCTGCAGTGTAAATCCTGAATTTCTGCTAGTGTGATGTTGCAGGGAACAGTCCCCACTACTGGACAGCAGTATGTGCTGATTGCCCTATCGCTACCAGGGGACCACTGCCTCACTCCTCAGAAGAGCACTTGGCAGCATCCCTGCAGTCAACAGCTGCTCAGAGCCCCCCAAAATTCTGTAGTCTGCCTTCTACCAGACCTCACCCAGGGCACATTTTACTCCTGGTTCATACTGTGTCTGCCACTGGTCTCATGAGAAATATTTAGTATGCTCGCACACTGCAGAAGAAGAAATAAAACACTTCATGTTTTCTCTTTGCAAGAGAGTAGGGAGTACATATATTTCCCCTTGTCCTCCTCCATGCCCAGAGGCACAAGATACCTTGGGGATACCCGAGAGAGAGTTGGCAGACACTGTAGGGGGTTATTAAGACATACTTGGGCACCTCATGCTTTGTTCAGCTCTAGGTCAGACCACACCAAAATTTTGCTCCAGCATTTTTCAAAAAATGCCTCAGAGTGTGTTTGCCGAGGAGGGATCACAGAGCAGCTTGTTAAGAAACCTGGCAGGACTAGAGTGTGTTTCCTTTCAAATAGTCATGCATTCCTAAGGCAATTACATTTCCCTTTGCTATTCTGTCCTAGAGTGATGCTCTCTCACATAGGATCTGATACAGATTTCTGAAAAAAACCGAGCTAGTTTGAGGTCTAAATTGCTGACTTTCTATTCTATACTTTCCACCTGTAGATTCTTTTAGATTGTCAGTCATACTGGAAAATGTTCTGATTGGGGATTGTTCTTCCAGTGCTACTCTTAACCTAACACATTGCCATATCTGGAGTAAATCTGAAGGAGTCTCCAATCACACCACTCCAATTTCTATTGGTTTTATCAATCCATGACACTGCTGTAGCAGATGTTTTGATGTACATCTGAATGGAAGGGAAGAAGAGAGTGCTCACTGAGTATTTTCTTTCAGAACCGAATCAATGTGTATATTGCCCAAACCTCCGCTGGAACTTCTGTGCAGAACATAGTCCACTGGAGTCAGGTATGAGCAAACCCCTGGAAGACAAAATACATACTCACCTTGGGGTGAATAGAGAGGTTTAGAGATATCCTGCCATGAAGCCATGGCTTATTTCTTGGAGACACATGTAACTTGTGGTTTACAACTAAAATCTCTGTTCAAAAGACTGTTTTTCATTGATCTTTCTTTTGCCAGCAGGATAGAAATACCTTGTGTGATACAGGTACATTTGAAGCTGCATTTGTGTAAAAACATGTATTCTGGAAGCTGTATATCCAGATGTATATATCGCTCTTCTTATGGGGTATCTAGTACCTTTTATAAATGATGTCCACAGTTCTGTACAGAGCTTCGCTTAAGACATTAGTCATGTTTCCAGTGTGGAGTGAAGAAATGAGCAGGACTTAGGCTGCTGTGTAAATGATCAATTTTACTAGTAAAAACCCATGTAGTTTCATCTCTTGCTTTCAAAGCTCTCAGTGTCTGGACAGCAGTATAACCATAAATAGTAAACTCTTTAGTAGACTCTTTATATCCCTTACCTACAAGGTACTGCCACAGTATTACTGCAGCAGCAATGCTGATGGGAGCTGCCTTTCTGTGTTGGGGCTCACACTTTCAGGATTCATAAAGCCTGGGCTCACTCACAGAAGCCCCTGTAGCAAGGCTGGTTTCCTGGCTGCACTGCAGGCTCTGGAGCAGCACAGGAAGGAGCCCTGAGCACAGTGAGCTTGCAAGAGCGTGAACGCACTTTTCAGCACAGCAAACACATGGGTATGTCTGAGTGACATCTGCACAGGCATTTACTCAAAATTAAACAATACTTTTGGCTGTTCAAATAAGATATTAGATTTGATGAAGTTGCTTTTGTAACCATGACTTAGACCTGTAAAGAAAAAGGGTCCCAAAAACACAGCGGGGGAAGTTCTGCAAACTGACGCAGATGTAATTCAGCATCTAACCACAGATTGGCAAGCACAAACATGCAGAAGTAATATTTCTGAGTCTTCACTGTCCTTGCTGTTATTACTATTCAGGGAGCCAACAGACTTTCAATATTAAGATCCCACTGAAGGTGTCTCTCACAGTAGTAGTAATCCATGCTGTAGGCAAAGCCAAGGAGCATATGAGAAGAATTAGAAATGGTGATTTCTGTACTTAAAATAGAGTGGGAAGAGAAAACATAAGATGAAGCCACTCATAGAGCTGAGTGATGGCAACACGACTGTCAGAAGAGGACAAGACAGTAGCAGTGAGGGGAACTTGCTGAAGGCAGTTGTTATTAGCAGTTTTCCAACCTGAACAAATTGCCTGCAACGACATCTCTGGGTCTTTCTGCAGAGGAGATGATTTTTTTGGTTCTGACAAAAACATTTGACTCCTTTTCACTGTTTGACATTTTTAATTAATTTACTACTGGCTCTTTCATAGCTCTTAGAAGAACTTCTGTTGGGGCTTTAGATTGGAGTCAGTGGCTCAGCAGGAAAAGAACACACAAACTTCCTGAATAACTGCCCTTCTCTTGTTCACCCTTCTAGGTGGCCCGCTCGGGGAAGTTCCAAGCTTATGACTGGGGAAGTTCAAAGAAGAACATGGAAAAATACCAACAGGTATGTTTTGGTGAAACAATATTACCACCCTTGGACATCACAGAAGCACAAAGGAAGTACGTAGGAGGAGACACATTTTCAGAATATAAGTAGATGAAAATATTACTACTTTTCACTTGGGAGGTCAGTGGAGAAAGCATACAAGCACTAATGGAAATAATAAATTTAATACATTTTAAAAGGAAAAAAGAGAGCAGGGAAGAGCAAAACTTTTAAATTACATTATCAATGGGAATAAGAGGAAGTAAGGGTAGAAATTATATAAAATGGATTTTGAAAAAGAAAACTAAAGGAAAAGAATAGAGACATATTACCTACTAGTGTATCTGAAACAGTTGACAATGCATGAGAGTTCACAGAAACAATATTAGGAAGAGTACAACTGAAGAACTAACAGCCACTCCTAAATTCTGGCAGCCAGAGACAAAAGGACTTTTTCCTCAAGAAGACTCTGAGGAACAACTTCTCCATTCAAGACTCTAATCCCATCCTTGACCCTCCTACCCTTTAGGTCTCCACAACAACCTGTCATTACGAGCTACATGTTTTAATTATGGTTTGCATGAAACACAACTTCTTTTGGTTTGACATGAATTTGCTTGCTCCTGGAAAGTCACTGGATGCCTTTTAGGTTTTGTGTTATGAGAAGTAGTGGGATAAATACTTCCTGTGTTCTTTCTTCATACTATTTGTGATTGTATAATCTTGTCTCCTGTACTTGCTCTGGCCTCTCTTTTCCAAACTCAGAAGTCCTAAGCTACATTCCCTCTCCTCCTGCAGAATCCACTCCATGATCCTTTTCATCCTTGTCACATATGTTTTCTAGCTAGATCATGTCTTCTGGGACTGACCAGCACTTCAAAAGGACCATGATGGGGATTTATCCAGAGGCATCCTGACATCTTCTGTCCTGTTCCAGGTTCTTGCCTTAAGATTCCTGGTTGAGAGGGCAAAGACCCAACAGTAACTCTTTGTCAACCCAGGAGGTGTTTTACCTTTGACACTGCTGTCAGTTGAGCAGTGATAGGCGAGCAAGAGAACTTCCTTCCTCTTTGGTTTAGGCACCTCTACTTTGAAAAGTGACAGAAGAAAGCCCAAAATGGACATTTAAAGTTTTCTGTGCTCTCCTGGACATTCATTCCTGTACTGCTTCATGTTTTCTAGACTATTCCTCCTGTCTACAACATAGAAGAGATGACTGTGCCAACTGCAGTGTGGACTGGAGGACAAGACTTGCTCGCAGATCCCAAGGATGCAGCCATTTTACTGTCTAAAATTAAGAAGCTTATCTATCACAAGAAGATTCCTGAATGGGCACACCTGGATTTTATCTGGGGATTGGATGCACCTTTGCATATGTACAATGAAATTATTGATCTGATGCAGAAATATCCTTAACCCACAACCAGTAGCCTTACCTGACTCATTCAACAGTATTCACTTTCATTCAGTATGAAAAAACCCCTTCTGTTGCATCTGGAGGCAGAGAAAGGCTTCCTCCTGCACACTCCCTGTTACTCCAATGCTTTTTGCATCCTGATAGTGCACTTCATATTTTCTGGCAACCCCGTGGCTCTGTAATACTTTCTTGATTGATACAGGTTAGATTCTGCGATAACCATACTTTGCTAACAGAGGACAGGGTTTGCTTGCAGCCTGCTCTCTTCTTTAGGCTGTTAACAGTAACAAAAGCACTTACTTTCTCTGGATACATTCAGTGATCTCAAGATGTTTTCAGTTCTTCATATTATTTCTCAGTTTATTGGGTTGACAATTATTTAAAGGCATAGTGTAAGCCAAGACTAACTCTAACAGTTGTAGTATTTATTAATTTTCTTATTAAATGAGATGATAACCATAAAGCAAAAACTGAGTTAATACAAAAGAATCCTCACTCCTGAAAAGAAGATGGTTTGTCTTAATTTTAAACAGGACTGCTCACTGTTTTCATGAGGAAGAGCAAGGGACACAGGGAGACCCAACAGAAAACAATAGCCAGTCTCATGGTTCAAGCATGCACTTGGAAGCTGGGAAACTTGGGTTCAGGGCCCACCCTGAGATAGGGAAATATTTACAAACTCGATCTCTGCTGACAACACTTTCAGGATCTGTGTACATGATCTTTCCAGTGTGGGAGAAAGGAGCCGATTTTATTTTGGCAACACTTTCACAGGACACTTTAGTAATACCCTGAACCCAGCAGGAATCTCACACCTCCTTTTATTTTCCATGTAAGCTACTGGCTACCACACAGTTGAGCTGTTCTGACCTTTATCGTGGCTCTGAGCAGCCTCTCCGGAGTTTAAACACTAAAATGAAAAGCACCCAAACATTGCTAGAAAGAATCCATTATCTCCACCCCATGGGTATTTAGAGCACTTTGACCACTACTGAAAAGGGCTGCTTTCAAAACAGTGCTGAAGAAACTGTCATCCTATTAATTTCCCAGGATAACTATGACTCTACCAATCTTCTTTCAAAGAGGTAGTTACTGCACAAAACCACTCAGTTGAAGGGTAACCTCCATGGTTATTAGGTTACAGCATGATAGGTCACCATCCCTCCACAATAAAATGCCATTAGCTTCACTGTGAAAAGAAACACAGTGCATTTAGGGGTTTCCTTTCAGCATGACAACTTCATTCTCCATTTGAATGAAATGTTAATGTGGGCCAAATCTGGGATGCTATCCAGGGCAGGTATAGCTGTTAGACTAGGACAGTTCACCGGTTACACTGTATGACCAAAAGACCAGTGCCTCACTCTGCGTAATGGTTCATTAGCCAAACAAATTAACCATGGCTATTGCCACTTCTGCACCCTTCCCTTCCAAAACAAACAACAGGCCTGTTTCATCTTCGAAGCCCACTGCTGAAGCCTGTTCTGTTTCCTTCTGCTTCACAAATGTAACTAGAGTTTGATCCAAACAAAACAGCTCTCCTCCAGACAAGGACATTCCTTACACGAAATACAAATTCCTGGAGTCAAATACCCTTCAGAGAGTCAATCTTTCAACTCTCTCACTGCTTGTAGGGGAAATGTATGAGGACTTCAGGCCTACATTATAAGTTTTTCATACTTTCAATGGTAAATGACATTGCAATATAGCTGAAAGTAGCCAGAGCATTCCTTAAGGTCACCTAGGAAAGAGCTTGCAACCGTACAGCTATTTTACTACCTGAGACACCACAGAGGAGGCAGGGTGTTGAATTTTCTGGAAAATCAGTAAAAGCAGGTTGGGCAAACAGCATTGGACACATTGTGGGGACTATTGATCTCACCCTGGGATGTGAGGAGGGATGAGGCATCATGTGATTAATTATGTGATTAGTCTGAGTGATTAATTTATGGTTTAATGAAAGTTGTTGTCACTTACAGACATCAGAGAAGCCAAGTTATAATGCTTTTCACTAAGAAAATATCAAATCACATTTTTCACTGTCCCAAACAATGTTCTTTACTTTGTATGTAAAGCAGAACTGCTACTGTGCCTTCACTGACATCTTGTTATTTCACTCTTTTCCTTCCCCCACTAGTCAAAGGTATCATATCATTTGCAATGGTGTTCCCAAGAATACACCCCTTTCATCTGATGTTCTTCTAAATGCTCATCAGCCCATGATGAAACACAAGTTCTTCTGAAGACACTTGTGAATGTATTGGCTGAACAGGCTGATCCTCACATAGGAGGATTCTGCTTAGTTTATAGCCCAGCTGCCCAAGGGCAGAACGAGTCCTTCTGCCCATGGTCATCAAACCAATCTCAGTGAGCACTGAGCCCTCAGGCTGACTATAACTAATTCAGCCATTAGGCAAAGATCTCCAAAGATACCATGTTTTCAGAGCTGATGAAAATGGCTTGGGATAAACAAGACCCCTTGTTTGTTCCCTCACTGGGAGAAAGGTTGTATGTTGTGTTCAAGCATTCTTTGGCACTGGAGTGTGATAAACGCAGAATAAGATGGGTTTCATGAGTTGTCATGCTCAGTGGGAAACAGATTTAGGTCAGTCTGGAATCGTAAAGTTAACATAAACAAATGAAAAGCAATAGCAGAGACTGTTCTTGAGAGACTATGTTGAGAGAAGCTGGACACTTCCTCGTTTTCATCTTAAAAGATTATATTTGAAGCAGACCCTCAGTTGGGCAACAGTACTGGTCAAGGTCTGCCACAGCCCCAGCAAACTGGAACACCCAGGTCCCAGCTAAACATCCTAACCACTGATTTGTAGGTAGTCTGTAAACTCTCCTGCTCCATAGTGCATTTTGGGTTTGTGAATTAAACCAGAAGATCTTTTTCATCACAAGGATTTCCCCACTTCTGAAGCATTGCCAAATCAGCACTTAAACACGTTCTACAATACATGCTGCCAGCTCATGACACTCACAGCTGCTTCCCCGAAGTGCTCATTTTGTTTTGACTTCCTTTTATCTGCGCAGGTTTCTGCCAGTGAATCAGTCTGCTAGTGGAGACGGAGCAGGGACAGTGGCAGAAGATACAAGCAAGGCAGTCAAAGCAGAGGTAAGTTGCTTGTACATATGTGTTCATGGTCTCTTCCTCTGTTGCCTGTCTCCACAAAGATGTGCTGTCTTGGTTTTATGCAGTTCGTTGTAAAAATAGACAGTGTTTTGCCTCTCTGATCTGTAAACCTACTGCTATGCACAGAGGTGCTTCTTTGCTCAAGTTAGAAGACAAATAAGTTTGATGTGCACAAAAGGAAGAAAAAGAGCAACTATTTAATTTTTCTCTACTTGTTTTCTTCAGTCTGAGAACAAGGGAATGAATGTCCCAGAATTGCAACAGTGTGTGTAATCTGGACCTCCCATTCCTGCCGTGTAATGCACATGTATGTTTTGTTAGTGAGTAAGGCAGCAAATTCTCATATATGTTTAGTCACAGTCGCTTTTCTGGTTGGTGTGTGGTTGCCTTACAGCTTCTGTGAAATAAATTTTAGACTGCTTAAGGCACAAGGGTAGAAGGATGAATTTCGGAATGGCTTTCATCTTAGTATCACTAAATCTTAGAAGTACCTAAAGAACTTTCAAGGGCATTTCTTTCTCTGAGCATTTTTCCATCTAAGCATGTTCTTTTATAACAGTTTGGTTTCACTAAATCTTAGAAGTACCTAAAGAACTTTCAAGAGCATTTCTCTCTCTGAGCATTTTTCCATCTAAGCATGTTCTTTTATGACAGTTTACCATGCCCAGTAGTTACTTAGTTATTTCACCTCACTCGTTGGAAACAGCTGCTCACATCTCCTGTCTATATTCCTAAAACTTAAGAGACTAGTGGCCTACCAAGATTGATAGTACTCAGCCTGCTCTATCTCGTTTAAAAGGTGAATACCTGGAAGTCCATGAGCCATGCCAGCTAAGCCAGGTGATGACAGAGTGCATTGAGGAAAGTTTGCCCTAACAAGAGGAATAATTTAGCCTCTGCATTGCCACAGCTAATCTTGGTAGTGATTTGGAAACAAGCTGAGCGGAACTTTTTCTTCCCAAATGAGATTCCCTGTGCAAGGAGAGAGAGGTATATTTTACTCCCACTAGAACAGAACAAAACAGCAGAAAGCAAAACAGTGTTGCACTGCCTGAGTATGTAGTTGTGAGGCTTCCTGTTTTGACAACAGAAATTAAGAAGTATTTGTTATACAAAGGGAATCAAATGAATGTGTTTTGATGCCAAGTTTAAAGTTTTGGGTGTTTCCAAATGCTGCCTCATTTCAACTGTTTGATGACTCATGAGATTTAACTTCTTCAAATTTGTTCAGTCAATTTTAAAGGTTAAATTGAATATCACAAAAAGCCAAAACATATTATCCTATAAGGATGTTTAGAGACTAAAAAAATCTCTTGGTTACCCCCCTCTCATTCCCACAAATCCTGTTCATATTCCCCATTACTTGACAGGGAATAGTTTCTTATTTTCTCTTGATCTTGATATTGAACATTTCCAAGTACAAATACACTTCATAGAGCACCATATCTCATCATAGTAGATGACTTATGCTAGAAGCAGACTCAATAAACATGTGGCTGCATGAGAACCTCTGTTCTTCATTAAAAATTACATTCTCCATCTCTAATGCCTGCTTTAAGAAAGACTTGTCTCCTGGGTCTGCTTAACTTCCTAATGAAAACTGTACAGCAGACACAGGTCCTATGAAATTCACTCACAAACCATGCATGCTGTAGCTACTTTGAAACTACATGGACACTGAAAATTGACTTGCTCACTCTTGCTGACTGCTCAGCTGATTGCCGGACATACAACAGCTGCCTTCAGCCTGCCTCCCCTCATGCAAGGCTAAACCCTGTTGAATAGTCCTTCCCTGACAAACAGTCCTCAGGAGCCCCATTACCTTACAGGGTTGTATCTCAGTGCTGACAATTACATCAAAAGTTAAATATGGGATGGACAGAAAGGTGAACTAACACAAACACACCATGGTCATGTCCTCTTCTTCTGAGGAAACCAAGCTCACAAGAGCAGTAATGTCCTCAGTCATTACTGGTGAGGCAATCTTACAAGACACCTTGATGA